AAAACAGAAACAGTAACATATATTGGGCCCCGTGCTGCCACGGGGTCCTATATCTAGTATTATATATTATATTATATTTATTATTATTATTATATATAAGCCAACAGAGAGGGGACGAAGTACACAACACTAAAAGCTACATGTATTGTACTGTAAAACATTGTACTAATAGGGGCAAGTTGGTAATTTTGAGAAATTTATGCTTTTGCCCTCCTTCAATAGCTAATACGTGTTCCAATTGTTAGGTGTTACTGACACATTTATGTCACTTCTTCTCCACCTTAACCGCAGTAATCTCCAGTCTCCACCCAAAAACACCACTGAAACACCACTAAACCACTAAAATGAAAGAAGCTTGCATCCAAAGGTCACCAACAATCACCACACAAATTCTTGATCTGAGGTCTTTAACCAATTTCCACAGTGGATGGCTCGAAATTTTGGTTAGCTTTTACAATTTCCATTCAACATGTTTTATAAAATTGTTTAAATTGTAGATGCATGATATTTTTCTGTCCATTTGTCTGATTGTTTATGTTTTAGGCTAATGAATTCACTCTCCTTTTGCTCTACCAACAATTTCAGTCAAACTAATCCATGTTACCAGAATGTGGAGGGAATGGAGATTTATACACTCCATTGACAGATTTTGCTTCTCTGAAATTTCCGTGGAAATTTATTTTGAACTACTATTTTAATATGCATGTTATGTTTGTACATGATTTCCACACTAATGCATAGGTGGTGTTTGATAAAATGTCTGAAATAATTGAATAGCAGCATAAGTTTCTTGCTTCTATTTTTCTTCTCCTGACATATTTTTCCCCTCTTCTTTCAGTGAGAATAAAAAAGTGACCACTGTAATGAAGTTGGTTGGTGGTGTTATTGACGAGTCATATTGCGAGGTGAGGATTTGACTTCCCATTTTGTGAAAAAATTGTGAGAATATATACCATTTATGAGAAACCATCAAACCTTGTTTAGTCAATTTGTTAAGACAATCTAATATAGCTTCAACTTTTTGATTGTATCTTTGCTTGTCAAGTATTTACAAATGTTCTTGGTTCATTATTATAGAGAGTAATATAATTCTTCAGTTCTTTTATGTTATTTTAAAGTATTGTTCTTACACATAGTTATGATGTTGAAACGTCATATTTAGTTTTCGAGCACCAAATAATTCTGAAACTTTACTGTGATACTTGAGTTCTTCTTCATATGTGGTAGTGGCAAACTGAGAAGACATAGGTACACCTCTAGAAAATGAAGAAGGTATCGTTCAATATAAAAAGGACCCATGCTGTTGTGTCGGACAAAGGAACATGGCATGTCCCTGAAAAACTTGGACAACGATTTGCCTGAAGTATGAAGAAGATGTTACTTTAGATGGATATCACTTTCAACTTGTATGGTCTATGTAATGCTTCATCAGTTCTCTTTCAATTTCTCATTGTGCCTCTCCCTTAGCATAACATACATGGTTAATTATAAATGCTTCACTTTTCTTTAAAGATACACAGGAAAGGGACTATGCGAACTCATTAACACTCTTCAACAAGTAAACCTTGAAATTCTTAGTAAAAATTCTCTAAACACATGGATTTAATATTAGTGAAGAAGAAAGATTTTAAGCTAAAAACTCGCTCATAATTTTTTTTCAGTAGGCATCAAGTCGACTAATCGTTGTGCATTTTACACTTTCAATTTCTTCGAGTTGAAGGTATTAACATTTTGTCTTTACTGATTATTTTATGCTCTTATTTGTTATCCATAATGTATTTAAGCTACAAAACTACAAAGAATTTATTTCTGCGTAAATGACCTTAAGATAACTCTGCTCTGCAATATTAATTTCAGTCGTTGCTGTTTAAAAATGTAGCATGTTTTCTCCTAAATGTCATGCTTCATCTCCAATTAGTTTTTCCAGTAGGCATCAAGTCAACTGATCGATGTGCATTTTACGCTTATTGATATCTTTGAGTTGAAGGTATTAACACTTTGTCTTTGTTGATTTCTTTATGCCCCTATCACATTCTGCTTTCCACATCTCAATTGCAAAAGAGATCATGTGTAACAACTAACATGTAAAAAATCATGTAGAATAGACAGTTTTATTTGTTCTTTGATCACATATTTCATATTAAAAATGAGATTTGCTTCACATTACCTTTCTTTGCTTATTGTGTGTTTAATTTCCTTATGTAGAATTACTTTTATCTATGAAAAAAAATGAGTTTATGTTGGCTACTCTTTGTCAATATGAAAACCATTACTACTTGAAATTTTTTAATGTTAAAGGAAGTGGACTTTATTATTCGTAATAGTGTCTACTCATTTGGAGAATGGTTACATATAGTGCAAGTCAACTACATTCTATAGACAGCGTGAGATCTATACTGTTGAGGCATGTTATCATTTCATATTTGACTATTATTTTACTATTCCTCGACCTTTGAGTTTTTTCACATATCATATACATCTTATCTTTGTCCTTCTGGTGTACAGTTGGTAATAGTGAGAATTATTTAACCAATCTTATATAATCAATTGACATGAGAATTGACAATTCTTACCGATTAATAAAGGTTTGGATACTCATCTTGGAGGTGTCTTTTCACAGAAATGTCTTGCTAAGGTGCACAAGTTGCATAAACATAGTGCAACTGATAACACTAAAAAAACTTTGATTGAAGTCCAACAATAATATTTGGCCTTACACAGAGGTGGTGAATTGAGTGCATAACATATAGAATCTGGAAAATCAGTTCAACATGGAACATATGAAAAATTAATGCAGCTTCTGGTGCATACCAATACTTCCATTGTGATCCTTTATATAACCTTAGAAAAAAGTAAAATTATATGTTCTTTAATTCCTTTTTGATACCAATTGTAGGTCTCTTGTACATTTAAGTCTTTTTGAGAAATACATTTTAGTTGCATTTGAAGTAGAATTATGATTTGCGAATTCATAAAGTTAAAACAATCATATGGTCATGTTAGTTTGTTGAGCTTTAGTTAGTTATCGAGAATATTGAGCAACTTCTAGAATGATTTTCGATCAGTTCTCTTCAGGTATGGATAGGACAAATTACACCAGTGTTTTTCTCATGAACTGTATTCTACCACGTTATGATAGTGATTTCTATATTCTTAAATCGAATGAGTTGAACTATATACACTAAAATTATTCTCCATGTTATGATAGTGATTTCTGTAATATTGCATATAATATGTCGTGTTGTACTTGAGTACTTTAGTATTTATCTTTGGCATAGATGAACAAATCATGTTGTATTCATTTTCATAATATAACTCAATTGTGTCTCTTGATCAGTTTTAGAGGTCTTGGAATATCTTTTTGATTTTGAGCAGCTGCACCAAAACAGATTAAAGAAGCTATAAAGTTAGGTTGCCTAAACAATGTTGAAGTGAAAAGTCATTTGTAGTTTTTCGTTTCAAACAATGTATAGTACTATTCTTTACCAATTTTCATGTCAATTCATAGCACTTGAAGTTTAGATATATAGATTGAATGCTTCTTAAATTGAAGATATACAGTCATAGCTCTCAATCTTGAGATGCCCAAATATCGTTATTTGTGTTGGAGTATATGTATGCTTGAATGTTATAGTTTCTAGAATCGCATAATATTCATCCAAAGATGGAACTAAAGTATATTTGTGCGTACAACTTTGTCATATTCTATTACATACGTGGTTAATTGGAATTTGTAGATATAGTGATTGTAGGATTTGACTAATATCAGTCAAATACGCAGGAAGTTATATGCATTGTCTGTACACTAAATCATCCCTTTGAGCTAGCTGAAAATTTTCAAATAAAACTTTCACTACTCTGCAGCAACTGCAATTTGTAAATTCATTTGGTTCTATTTTCTATTCTGTTACTACAGGATATTGGTAAAATGCGTCATCTTAATGCCTCAATTGCTATGAAATTTGCATTTGATAATTTGAAAGATTCAGACTATCAAATGAGGGAGAAAGTAATTAAGGGCATTGATTGCTTTGAAAGTATTGAATTATGAGCATTCCTTTGCAACGATGAGTTCATCCGCGAAGTAAATAAGGATTGGAGAGAGGAGGACAACACTACTAATGTCCTTTCAATGTCTCAACATATACCTGAACTTGAGCTTCCAATTGTAAGAAAATACTTCATTATTCACATATCAAGCCTCATGTAACGAATCTAAGTAGGTCCGTATTCAACAGTTAATGTTGGGAGACATTGTGATTTCAGTGGAGCCAATAACAAGGCAAGTAGAGGAAAGGGGATGTAGTCCACTGGACGAGATACACATCTTACTGGTAGGTTTCACATACTTTGAACTAATTTTGAAGAGTAAAAACAAGAAATAATTGAACTTTTAGGACTTCTTATTTGATACTGCAGCTGCATACATGTTGTTACAACCAGCATTATGATGTTACTTCCACTTTTTTCATGAACTAATTGATGTAAAATCTAATGTTTTGATACTTTTGCTTTATCATTTACTTTAAGGCATTTTAAAAATTAATTAGCAGTAGGACCAGCCTAATAGATGTCATTCTCTAGAAATGCCTTAGTGCAATGGTTCACAAGTTTATTTTCTTACAGCACTCTTACGCAAATAGTATATGTTGGGAGTATGTTTTCAGATAGTTACACATTGAAGGTTTAAAGTCTTGCTACTTCTTCCATTCTTGCAACAAGGATAACTAGAATAATGCTATTATGAGGGAGAGAATTCAAGTTCCTCAAGGGCTCTTAGTAAAACCATTTCTTTAAGAAAACAAAGGTTTTATGGCTTCGACTTTGACAGAGGAGATGAAATATATCTTTTAGCGTAAATTCTGCCAAATTAGACTCCCGAAATACTATCGTCTTTTAATTACGGCCTTAGAGACGCTTCCAGTGATTTTTAGTCTTTGTTGATTATCTAAGAAGAACATTGTATTTGTAATTGATTTTGAAACTATATATTATTTTAATTGAATTGATCTTTTGATTATACGATGAATTTATTCTAATCCATGAGATAGTATTAGAGAGTAATGAATCATAAGGTTAGCTTTCTTGCATCCTCCATATGCCAAACAATTGTTGCCGAGAATTGATATATAAAGAGAATATTCATGAGTGAATTATTCTTTGTTTCTCCAATTCTGGATCAATGAAGGCCATTAAGCACCTACAACGAGGGTTAACCTACTAAACAGACGCTATTTGATAGAATAAAATTCTTTGTACTGTTACTAGACGATATTAAAGAAGGCAATAAGTTAGAGTAGGATTCGGTTCTTGAATTTATCACTTTGAACATATGTATGTTCTCTAATATGTTACAAGATCTTGGAGTTACCAGAAGCTATTAGCGTCTCTACAACTTCAACTACTTTTTAGTAAATATTTTAAATCTTTCCTAATTCTTCATCTATTTTTATTTGCTTTTTCAAATTTTTCAGAGAAGTTTAGAATGACCCACATTATGAGAGAAGTTGAAAAACCTGTATCAAGCAAAATCACCCTTTTTATTTATATCACATTTCCGTCATACATTTATTATTTAGACTTTGGGTTGCTAGCGTTGTCCTACCCCCTTTCACCCCAAGGGGAGAAACTACCATGATGATGTTAAATATTAATCTTCACATCTTATCTGCTGAATTGTATGACTCCACGAGACAAACATGTGAGACGATCACTATAATTGGAACCCCTCAATTGTGGTAGTTGGTGTTGTTGGATATGTTATGGTACTTCATGATTGTGTTGCCTCAAATACTAACTGAGCTCAGCATCTCAATGAGGAGTTGAAGAGGTTCTACAAAAAATGGAGCAAGTCCAAGGAAGAGGCCATTATGAAGTACTCCTAGAAATATGATGTTGATGAATAAAGCAGATATTCAAGCGCTGTTGGAGAAACTGAACAAGTATGCTTGTGTTATCCATGTGTTTAACTCTCATACATGTATTAAATTTGCATGTCATCCCTCAGATTTTGAGGATACTTGACTATTTTGTTGAAGGATAGTGATGAGCAGTGGCGGAGGGAGGATTATCATCAAGGGGGTTCAAAAAAAATTAATCACGTAAATAATATCCACAAATAAACGGGTCGAATCGGATATAAACAGGTCGGATTAAACGGTCGAATAAGAAGAAACGGATTTTTTAATATTTGACTTTATAATTAGGGATTAAACTAATAAATCCTAAATTTCCAATCAGCGTTTAATTTTTGGAACTAAACATCATTTTCTGATTGCATTATTATTTATTTTAAAAAAAATAAAAACGCCTGAAATAAGCTGATAAAACAAAATAGCCTCTGCCCGGATTCGAACACGCGACCTCGCGTGCAGTAGAGCAAATTCCTGAACCCCCAACGCCACTGAGCTACGCCTTTGGTGTATGTTCAGGGGGTTCAATAGTATATATATACACATATATTCAAAATTTAATCTTATATATATAGTGTAATTTTTCGACGAAGGGGGTTCATCCGAACCCCCTTCGTTGAACGTAGATCCGCCCCTGGTGATGAGTATTACTGGTCTCTCTCTATAATGTTTATATGCATGGCCCGTGGGGTGGTCGTATGTACTTATTATCACTTATCCAATTATGTATTTATTGTAGGTATTCTATCTGGAACAAAATGATCAATATTATTTAAAGATATGTGAGTTTATTTTTTCGTACATGTATATAGAAATGTCATGTTCTATCCATAATTTCCATATGGTTAAATTGCTTAGGTTGTATTGTTACGCTATAGCACGGGCCATGACAAATCTAGTATATATATATATATGAGGATCATAGAGGAGGAGGTGATGTGACACTTTTTTATGGCCTTCAAATTTCAATTATATTTTTTTTTCATTTTTTTGGCATTATATTTTTTTGTTTATTTCTTAAATTTTTTTACTTTAACTCATTTTTAAAAATCTGATATGTGAGTAAATATAATACTTAATTGCATGAAGACGTTTAGGTAGAAGAAGTTGAGAAGATTAATTTATAGGAAAAATTACCCAACTATACATCATTTATTATCATATTTTCTTATTTTCTCTATCATTTAAAAAAATATCAAAAATCTCTTTTTTTTGCTCTCATCATTCCTTTATTCGGATACATTAATTTGAATCTCCTACCCATGATTTTCCTTCTTTTTTCACTCCACAAATCTCTCCACAGTTACTTTCATTAATTTATTTTTGAATTTTAAATCTTTTCTCTTTCCAATTAATGATTTCAAGTTATTCAAGAGGCAGATTTCTTTCAATCACTTTAGTTTTTGATTTCTTTTATTATTATTTTTAAAAAATCATCTTAAAAAATTACTGAATCTTTTACTCCCGGTCTCTTTATGGAAGAGAGGTGGAAAAACCTTGCATTAGCACAAAGTTCATTTGGAGTGCATTTGGAATGGTTCCAAGAATTTCTAATGGCGGTCTTGATACACTTCATTCCATTGATTCTATCTTTCAATTTTTTGGGCTAACTTTGAATGTACCTCGCTTATTTTGATTCTTAAATTAGTCTTTTTTTAGTGTTATTACTGATCTGATACATCACCGTTAGCGTTTGTTTTATTCAATGTATCATGTTCATATTTAAGGTATTGATACATAACTCTAATGTTGTTGAATCTTCGATCAGTATTTATCATATTCAATATAAATGTACTTGATACATAAACTTTGTGTTATGTATCACACACCAAAAAAATATGTTATTTAGAACAATTACATGTATAATATTTTTTTTATAAAAAAAATATAGTATTTCTCAAACAAAATAAGATACATAAATAATAATGTATCATGCACTAATTTTTTAGGCATGATATGTAAATTCGAAATCATACTAAATGTATCTGATACATAACAATTACCAAACAATAATGTATCGATCTCAAACCTAAAATCTTATGGGCAACACTTTCTTATTTAATGTATCTAGTAGAAGTACAACACTTATCAATTTAAATTGAAAGAACCTTCATAATGTATCTTCTCAAAATTTTCGATAATTTTGAATTAAAATTGAAAGGATCTTCAATGAAAATGGCAATTGAGTTTTGTAGCAGCAACACATGTCTTGTGTTGAATCGACGGAGTGACTCAATTTTTCGCCACTTTCTCTCTTCTTATCCTACTTCGGGGTCTACCCCAAAAAAGGTCTTCAATCAGGTATCTTTCATGAATTTTGTTTAGTGAATAGCCAAGGAGGTTCTGTACCTTTTCTACCAATTGACTAATTCATTTTCATTCATTTTTCTACCACATTAAAGGATCTTCATGATGTATCTTCTCAAAAAAATTGATAATTTTGAATCAAAATTGAAAGGATCTTCAATGAATTAGGAGAATAATTTTGAAATTCAAAATTTTCAACAATTTTGAATCAAAACTGTAAGGATCTTCAATGAATTGGGAGAAGAATTTTGAATCTCAAATTTTTCGACAATCTTGAATCAAAATTGAAAGGATTTTCGATGAACTTGAAGATTCACAAAAGAAATCGTTTGTCCAACAACAATTCCATCACTTTTGTATCCTTCATAACTCACCTCGCTTATCCAAAATTTCGACAAAAGTTTTTGAATCAAATCTAAAAGGTTTCTTCGCTGAATAGGGGGGGCTGAAGCAATTTGAAAATTTGAATTTCTTCGTTCTGTTAGGATTTATCTCTGTATGATTGAAAGTAAGAAGAAATGTAAGAAGATCGAAATATTCATTTGTATCGTATGAAATTTTCGGCTAATGGATGAAACAGAGAAAACGATGAACAAAAAGAAGAAATTTAGTTTTTAAATTTTTTGGTTTGTTACACTATATGATTAAATTCTTGACAATAATTTGGAATGGAATAGAGCAATTTATGGGATCTTAATTTGATTTTCAGTTTTTTTTTCCCCCCTTATTAAGTGCAACAGATTGATACATAATGTATCCGGATCCTTAATTATGTATCCGAAATGCCTAAAAAACATGGGATTTGTGTAATTAGAAAAAGAATAGGGATAAAAGATAATTTAGATTTTACACTATGAGATTTATGTAATTATACTAATTTATATCCTCTTCCGTCTCTTCTCCAAAATGTGTAACAGTAAAAAGTAATTAATTATATCATTAATTAATTTCCAAAACTGATCATCAAATAAAACTGCTTGACTTTTCATCTTTCACTATAATTGATATTCTTTAATTATTAAAAATATCAATTTATGTGTTATAAATCCATTGAATAAGTGGATTGTCCATTTAGGAGCCGTTTGGTTACTGGTTAGAGTTATGCAGGTATTAGTTATGCAGGTATTAGTTATGTAGGTATTAGTTATGCAGGTATTAGTTATGTAGGTATTAGTTATGCAGGTATTAGTTATGTAGGTATTAGTTATGCAGGTATTAGTTATGTAGGTATTAGTTATGCAGGTATTAGTTATGTAGGTATTAGTTATGCAGGTATTAGTTATGTAGGTATTAGTTATGCAGGTATTAGTTATGTAGGTATTAGTTATGCAGGTATTAGTTATGTAGGTATTAGTTATGCAGGTATTAGTTATGTAGGTATTAGTTATGCAGGTATTAGTTATGTAGGTATTAGTTATGCATTTTTATTTAAAATAGAAAATTATAAAGCTTGTATCCAAGATAAAATGCAACAGGCCCCTGTGGGGGTGTTGGAGGGGTG